TTTTTGAAAATATTTTTTTACATAGTTTCAAGTCGCTTATAAAACAACGTTTTTATTAAAAAATTATATTTTTAAATATTTTTTATCCTTATAATTTTTTAAGTTTTTTACTTTTTTGAATAACAACATAGGGTTTTAATTTTATATTCCAAAGCAGAATATTTTTGTTAGTATTTTGATACATGAAAATTGAATTTGGGGCGAGTAGTTTATGAGTTATAAGTATTTAAAGTTTAGACGAGCGGAGTGGAGTGGTTCGGGGTTACCCCGCGAAACGTTGGTCCACTTCACCGCTCGTCTAAACTTTAAATACTTATAACTCATAAACTACTCGCCCCAAATTCAATTTTCATGTATCAAAATACTAAGAAAAATATTCTACTTTAGAATGTAAAATTAAAACCCTATGTTGTCATTCAAAAAAGTAAAAAACTTAAAAAATTATAAGGATAAAAAATAATTTTTTAATAAAAATGTTGTTTTATAAGCGACTTGAAACTATGTAAAAAAATATCTTCAAAAAAATTTACACTTTTTGAAATAATGAGTGTTGTTTGATAAAAGAATCACCCAGTATAATTTTAGAAATTATTTGTTTGAACAAATGGAATTTGCGATTTGAATTATTTTTATCTTTCACGGTTATTACGAACTCAAATAATATAATATTTACTATTATTTCAACCGCAAATCAAGTCTTCTTGGCTACAATATAAATTATAATATTTTATAAACTTATTAAATTACATTATACTTTATTTTCTTTTGCAATCTGTAAAGTATTACAATAAGAAAAATGAAAGATCTAATTCATTTTTTTTTTTTTTTAAGTAAAGCTTTGACAACTGAAGTCATTAGCCTGTTAATGTTAATTAAATTTATATGCTATTATACACATAATCTCTTGATTAATAACTAAGGAGACCATTTATTTAAAAACTAATACACATAATGTATACTCGAGTACTAAATATTGGAGACATGAATGTATAGTGTATTATGCAGATACATAATGAATTGTTTAAGTATTTAGACTCATACATAAACAAACAAAAATTATGGTTTCAGCCTTAAATATACCTACATACATATTAGCAATGTTCAAATTAATTTTTTAGGATTACTATATTTTCTTTTTTTTAAATCAACACTTAAACCGTACATTTATAAATCCTTGTGCCTTGATAGTTATCTAATATGTAAGTACAATTTATATGTATTTTACTCTCATTTAAATTATGTAAATCGTCATTAATTACACTACGAGAAACAGTCTGTATAAGTAAAAGTTAAAACTAACAAGAACTCGTGAGGTCATGCGAAACCCACAACTTACTAATATCAGTTCCACAATTTTCAAAAGGTTATCGGGTGCAATAATACCTGTTCTTTTCGATTTGGTCGCGGAATATAGAACTATAAAATATCTCGTACGTTGTATGACGTACGTTTGTGTACCGATCGCTGGATATTTTATCAATACGCTGTGAAAGGAAAATGTTTACCGCGGGCATGGCGATCGACGGTGAATTATGCTATCCATACAGACGCTCCAGAACTTGTATTTTCTCGGCTACTCGGGGCATAATAGTATACAGCAAGTCGCGAGATGGATGAGAAATGACACGCGGACCGCGAAGGAAGCGACTGCGGCGGCGAGGTGGTTTACACGGTCGGTTGACGGTGTAACCGAGGCGCGGGCCGGAAAACAGTTGGTCATTAAAGACGGGACGCCCTGCAAAGACGTATCGGTCCCATTAGATCGTCCCGTCGGGGGCGAGGGGTGAAGTTTTGGAAAGCGGAATTCACTTAGGCGGCGCGCGGTGGTGTCGGTCCGGGAAAATGATGTATCGGTGACGGTGGACTGCGGCGCAGTGGCGGCGGACGCCGTGCAGTTGGGTCACGTGGAAAACCGTCGATTCTTCATGCCAGCGCCGACCATCCATCAATTTCCAAAAACACGCCACTACCACCACCCCCTCCACACCCTGCACCGCCATTCAGTGAATTCGTCGTGTCCCTAGTTGCCAGACGTCGGATTTCGAAACGAGCAGAAAAAAATCGTATACAGATGTCGATTACCGCATGTACCGTTGTATAAATAACACATTATTATGTACTCACGTAACAGTACATATAGCTTGTAGTACACAGCCCATGACTGAATTTATGAATATTGTATAGGCTAGCCGTTCTTTTGTCGACGTAAATTAAATAATGTTGGCGGATTTACCCTGCCTTAAACCCCGTTAAATGTAAACTGCACACATATTTCTAACCAAAGTAATTTGAGTGATTTAGACGAATTTGTAAAATACGGTTCTAAAATGATACGCAATACTTGCTATAATAACTATTTTATTTTTTGTAGCCGATGGCAAACCTATACCAACAAAGAAATATTAGATTTTCTTGAGATCACAAACCCCTGCCCATCTTAAAAATTTAAAATTCTAGAAATTAGATTCGAGGTGCATATTTTCAGGTATATAAGATTACTTATGAACCAGATTTTAGAACCATTAGCTTGACTGGTTTGTGGACCGTATACACACACACACACACACACAAACAAACAATCATTTCATGTTATTAATATAGATTAATGCCGATTCCTACTGAACACTGAGTTTGCACAATAACACCGCACACTCACGCATACCATATTATACTGCAGAGTCGTCCGAATGCCATGGGTATTTTCCTCAATACCTATCATAATATTATAATTCCCCGCACACTTTACAACTATGTATCAACTATATAAAATGTTATGTCAAAACATGACAATAATAATAGCGATGATGACGTACAGTGGTTGAATTGGGAGTGACGCGGGGGGACGGAGTCCAACTTCTATTTTTAAAATATTTTAGCGTACCCCTTCTAATTTCAAGAATTGATAAGACATTTAAATGTTGGGGGGACGCTCAAATGTTTTATACTTTTGCATACCCCTTCTATTTTTTTCCAATTCAAGCACTGATACCCTTCAAAGCAGTTCGATTCGCGTCAAGTCTCTATAATAATAACAATAATATAACTGTTGGAAACACGCTCACGTCGTCGCCGAAGACACGGTTTTCTCGTTTACCAATATTATTATCATTATTATTGTTATTTTCATATACGTGTCCGGGTTTTACGGGGCGACCCGTATAAAAATCGTCGGGGAAGTAGTGTGAAACGTCCTGCAGATGGAGTTTAAAGACCCTCCCTCGCTGTGCAGTCGTAAAGATCGGTTAATACGGCGACGCGCTCGGGGGCCATAGGTATAATACGTATTATACTGCTCGGCAGAAAGAAGTCCGACGCTCGCCGACACGTTTTAAAGTGCTGTTTACCGGCGGACAATGGCCGGTGTACATAAGGTCTCGGACTCCGGGTCCCGCCGGGATCGTTAGACCGGGCCACGGATTATTTGTTTTTCTACCTCCATGTCCGCCTCCACCGAATATACGCCCACATAATCACGTTAACATCCCGTTATGTATAGGACCCCGCGTGTGTGCCGACCGTAGTATCTTCTCGTTTACCGCCGCCCCGTGCAGACGGTGAAATTTACAATCGGCCACCCTCTTATACACGTCCTATTATTATTTCTCGCTGTTTCACGGCAAATACGCGACCCTGATTCCCGGTCGTCGTCGTCGTCGTCGTCGCCGCCGAGTGTCTCGACAACGAGAAATTACGAAAAAACTTTATATCGTGCCACGCGCAGTATGCAAGCGCATATGCGACCGCCGTCGTAGATTAGATAAAAAAAAAAACACGTCGTGTACACTATATATTATATTATACTATATGTAATATGTATATATATATATGCGATTCGTATAATGTATTTTTCAACCGCTATTCGTGAGCGTACCATATATCCGTCGTGGAAAAATATTGGCGTTTTTGAACGAAAAAAAAAAGACTGACTATTGTAACCTAACCTAAATATATCATATGCGTGTGTGTGTGTGTGTGGCATTCGAGATTACAAAGTTTTAAGTTTTACCACGTCGTATCCGGTACAAGGGGAAAACGACATCCTTCAGTCGCCAACACAACGGCACATCATTTTTAACCCGAATTAAAAAAAAAAAAAATGTGAAAAGTTAGTCACGTCCGGATTTTGAATCGCACAAGCTTTGTCTCCTTTCTGTCGTTCCCCCCGTGGACGGACTGGCTGACATTCCGCAGTTTTTATTTTTAATCTCACTATAATTTTTAAAATCATCATTTGTACACCAGAAAAAACACCACGAAAGCGATCCTTTTATATTTTCATTTATTATTTTTTATTTTTTTTTAATGCTTGTCGTGTGGTAAACAATATGCTGGTTTTGTCTGACCGTACAAAAGCGCAAATGGTCAAATGTATTTTTTTCACCCTACTACTGATATCCCTCTGCACAGAAAACGCATGCATTGTTATGCCACCTGAAATTCAGAAACTTAGGGACACTGACGAGTTTTCAAATTTATATACAAGCCTATAAATGAACAATCACAAATTTCGTGTGCCGTAATCGAAATTTCGTCGGTGCACGATGGACGTTTATAAAAACACGAATGTTAACGATCGTAGAAAGAGACGAAAATGTTGCATATTGAATTGACATGGAATAATACTAATAAAAAGTCCCTCCACGGCCGTTTGAAAATATGCGATCGCCAATCACGTATAATATATTATTCGAAACATTCGTAGGATTCGCTTAGAATATGGTGTTCAAACTGTTCATATTTAACGAAAACTAATAATATATATATACGATCACGAGATCGCGGTTGGAAATTGTTTTCTGTCATTCACGTTTAGACGGAAGAGTTAAACCATTCACGGTTTGACGGACGGAATGGCCCCTCTATACATATAATATAGTTTACTAAAATATCATCAATCACCCCGGACGTCCAACCAGATCTTGATTACAAATTTAAAACTTAAAAGTCATTAACCGTTTTGGTAAAAATATTTACAGTTTTTAATTTTTTTTTTTTTCCAGGAAGAAAAACTCCCATCCAATGGAGTGGGGTATGCGGCCCATCAGGTCGACGGACAAATGTAAGTGTATAGTATTTTTTTACATTGTTTTTTTAAACGCATTTCTGTTTCATACTTTCAAGGGGAAAATTATTGGGAAAATTCGTCGCGAGATTTACGGTCTCTTTTTAAGCCTCTGGTACTTTCTCGCTCGTATTTTTATTTCATTTTTTCGCCTTACAGACCCGGTCCTGGAGGTTAACATCGATTTTTTTTAATCATAATTCTACACGGAAGCCGATTAAGCACACGTGTTGCCCAGTGCAATAGGGTGGGTGGTAAATGACGGGCCTTGGGGCTCCTTGGAGACACATAAGACACCGGGATAAAGGGAACTTTAAAAAAAAAAAACGAGACAACCGGTGGGGGACATTAATAAACTTTACGGCACTTTTAGACTCAGTCCCGAGCTTTATTACCACAAGTAAAAAAAAAAAACAACATCCACAACAATCTTTTTTATTTGTTCTCGACTGTAATTTTTTACTTTTAGTTCTTTGTTTATTCTTTTTCCCAAATAATTGTTCTATCTATTTAAGTTATATGAGGCATGTGTATATAATATATTAATAATTATACACAGGCATAGTCGATTAAATGTGATTGGGTCGTCGCTGACATTATTGTATGCGTATATTTGTGGAATGACATCATTACTGTATCGAATATTACTCGGATAATTGCGAACAAAGCACGTGCGTAACTGTTTTCGGTAGTTATTCGGCCGCCGTTCTATTTTCGTGGCTGGAATAAAAAAATATAACCCCTCCGGAGAGGGTGAGAGAGTATAAACTCTAATGCTGTCGAGATGATAAGGAAAACACGAGGGACAGCCGGCCGGCCCTAAACAAATTTATGGCCTTCTGGACCGTTGGAATTATTTCGTCTGGAGGGAAGAATCTTGTATTACATTATTATTATTGCGTTCTGCTGCCTTGTCCGTAAATCTGACCGCAAAACGCATTTCCACAGCTGTAACCACAATAATCATCTCATCTCGGGTGGGCTTTTCCCCCTTTCTATCTATTATTATTATTTTTTTTTTACTCGGTATAAAAAAAGTATAAATAAACGGAGAACGTACAATTATGGAGCTGATAACGTCAGAAAGCTGGGAAATACATCAAAAACCCTATAAATCCGTTACGTCCTTATTTATATCGAGTATCTTTTATTTTCACATCGGCAATAAATTGGAAAACTGACTGCGTCACTGTATGTATGTGTAGTAAAGTTTTTAATACACTTCTAGTAGTATTGTTATACGACTCCGAACACTAACACATTAAGTTAATAATAAAATATACTAAATACCATATTATTATACAGTATAATACTTTGACTACAACCACCACCGGAATCTTATTTTCGTTTTCAATTATTTTATATATTACTACAATAATTAAAGAAACAAATTTAATTTCTCCTCTCGCATTTTATCGAATGTACAACGCGTACAATATATAGGTCCAAATATACTTTCAACGTGAATCAAGTAAATTCAGTAAATTTATGTTCTGATGGTTTTATCTTGAGATATTTGCATAACTATCGGAACTACATTTTGACGGTATATATTATGTATATGCGGATTAAAATGTAGTAATATACTTAGCGTTTTACTCACTCAACATGTAAATTAAAATTAGTATAGGAATCTCATTATATTATATTATTATATATAAAGTCTATTGCGTGAAACTTATACGCAATGTTCAAGAGCTGTGTAATAGAACTTAGATCATAAACTTAGACACGCCAACGGAAATTCTAATTCATAACCCCTTTCTCATTTACAATTCAATTACTTGGGTACATAAGTAAAACACATATTATAAACGAGTAATATAATAATAATAATGCCATAATGGTAATTTGAACAAACGTAGGTATAGTACATAATGGTTTTTAAAGTTGTCTATATAACATATTTCATATTTGTTCGTCGTGTACATCCCGAACAAAAATATGAGCGTAATAAATATAATGTAATATTGTATTTTGTTTTGCATTTTGAGGTGAAATCAGATTAACATTGATAAAATATATAATATACTCAGGGGTTGTGTTCAGAATTGTATTGAAAATAATATGTCCCACTAGTGACGCGTCCGGTATTAATGGAGGTGTTGTGTCAATGTAGAGAGGTCAACAGGACAAAAAAAAATGTCATTATGCCACTTTTTTTTTACAATGCACACATACACCATTCATATTATTCTCAGACCGTGAAGTATTCATTACGCTCTGGCATCCTTTTACATTTTTCATTATTGTGTTGCGATTATTTTTTTTTTTTTAATGAAAAACAACGTCCGTCGACCCGTCTTGCCAAATTATTATATTAAAAAATAATCATAAAAAAATCGCGAAATTAGGGGTTGTGACTTGGCGCCCCGTGTTTTCAACCATCATCCCTCACGTCCCCAAAGTTATTTATATTTTTCGACGGACAAACGGGCGCCACGAGGAAGAAAAAGGATTGGACGCAAAGGGGTGAGCAGGGATGAAAAAAAATAACGTTATAGGGACGAGGAGAGAGGTGTGAGAGAGTTTGGGGGAGGAGAAAAAATAAAAACAGCGACAACAACGACGACGGCGACCGCAGAGGCTAAAAATTAATGCGTTAATTACTGTTCGAAAACAAAATTGGAATACCGTGTTGGGAGTGTGTCCGGAACAATTCCCCTGTAGGAAAGGCGCAGATTTCCAGTGATAGGGTTAGCGAAAGAGACTGTAGCAGGACGACGTATGTATAATATATTATACGTGATGTATATGTATATACGATAAATGATTTTGGATATATTTCGTTCCCATAAATTACCGTTTTTTACGAATTGACCGTATTGTTATTAATGGATTGCACTCCACTATAGAGTTTCAAAATTCCAAGAGGATTTTTTCGTTTCATTTATATTTTTTTAACATTCATAACGGCAGCTGTTAAAAATACCACCTACCTATATAGTATACACAGTTTACGAATTCGTACTCAAACTAATCGATGGTTTTGTACTGGTTTCGTCTTCGGGACAGTTTACAATAGCCGCGACAGTTAAGTGTTCTAAAAATGATTTTATTCAAAACGAGATTGCTAGTTATTTTCTTATTTCTTATAGTAACGAAATAATCCCGACCACCCTCTGTCTTTTTATGTTTCCTGTATTATTTTATTTAAATTATAATTTTTCTTTTCCTCTCATCAAAGTGGCTATTTCAGAAACGGCTATCTCAGTGAGTGTTAAAAAAATGAGTTTCATTACCTGCGTATGATTGCAACGTTAGGGTGGGATACCAGTGTCTGAATTTTAGGGTGAAGAATAAGGTATATAGAGCGAGTGAGAAAGTCGGATAAAGAGTATAAAAAAGAGAACCATCCGTTTCCCTCAGGTTCTTCGTCGCAATAACAATAAAAAAAATAAAATGAAGAAAAAACGAATAATATTCATCCAGAGGTAAAAACCGGCACGGGCGGCCCTTTGCGTTTCGGATTAAGAACGAAAATTAAAAGTTTAATTCAGCTTTATAGAAAGAAATGTAATGAAAAGGCAAGCGAAAACGGGGGGAAATGAAATGCTATTTTTACAGGGGTAGTACGTGGATTGGCGAGCTTGTATCGTTATTCGACCAACTAATCTAGTAGTACTTCAAACGAATTCCTCTTTTTTTTTTTACCAAACAAGTTTTTTTTTTTTATGACTTTGACAAACAATCTACCTGCTGCTACCTTTTATTATTACTATTTAAAACGGCGCGTTTTTGTAAAAATAAAATATTTTTATTAAAAAAACCCAGTTTTGCTGTGCATACTCGCGTGTTGTGTCAAATGAATTTTGAACATAACAAATTGCTTTGTACGGTATTTGGTTTAATTTATTTTTTCTTTATGATATTTTACATCACATAATTTTTTTAAATAATATTCATGTCATAGCAAAATCGTAATTAAATTAAACAAAAAACAAAAACCCCAAAATGATAATATTATATTATACGCGCTTTATTGCGCGCTCGTCACTCGGAGCTACTATAACGGAATTCGTGAGTTTACGATTTATTAAAAACAGAACTGTTGATGTGTGCTTTTGTATTTTTTACCAATCGTGCATTGCTAACGTATTGTTTCGTATTATAATAGCAAAATAGATGAACTTCATACGTCTGCAGCAGTGGTTTGAAGAGAAAATCTAATATCGCTGTCTGCCAACCAAACGCCTTGCACTTACTTCAGAATTTTCGAATATTTTTATCATACCGACTTAAAGCCGCTGCTTAAATAACATATTTTATTATATATTATCATACCTATCGTAGGTATCCACTGGTATATGGAACAGTAACCCGCCACTACAGTGGTATACGGCCACCACGATAAGTACCGGAAATTTATCTTTTTTATTCCCTGCAGAGAGTCTGTAAGACATTCGATAACCGAGACGCGGTTATAGTCTCGACTCGAGTCTTTCTCGTCGCCATGCCCCGTGACCTATACCGAGTACTACAGATATATAATATTATTATTATATATAAGCCACTATACCGTCTCCGCCGATGCCGTCGTCCGGTCTGTAGGAGATACGAGCACTATTATCCGGGGAGGCCATCGGCTGCGCTGTCCAGACAAACTTCGAACCAGAAAGTTTATCGGTCCCTCCACCTCCTGCCGCTTGAACATCGCAACACGCTGTCCACGTTGTACACTATATTATATACATACGCAGTTGTAATAATAATAATAATAATATGTGCTCTATCGTATAACCATTCCGAATGGTAGCGGTGAATCCGATCGGATCGGATCGGATCGAAAACTCAAGTGAGCCCGGTGGACTGGAGGAAAACGCGTGGGGCAAAACTAATAAAGCTCTATTCCCCTGTATCACCCCCCCTCCACAGCCCATTCTCGTATATATACACGAGTTTGTCCGATCGACCCCAACGCCACCACGATACAATCGCGAGCACATAAATCCTTCATACACCTGAAGCAAAATAACTTTATGTGACCCCATACGCAC